GGGTTGGCTGAAAGGAAAGTCCCTGAGCTGAAGCAAGGGAGAAGATGCTGCCTGCACTCTTTGCCTGTTGGAATAGGAAGCATTTGAGAGAACTCAAAATATCTTTCATTCTTGGTTTTCAGCTGGTGCTTATGTCAGAAGAATGAAATCCTGGGGACGAGTGAGAAGAGCAGATTTACCCTATCATATTTTCTTGGTTCTACAACTTAATATTCCCAAAGACGCAAAATTTCCATAGTCTCAGGAAACATTTTCTTATATCAGACAGTAGGTCCATATGCCTGGACATCTAAAACAGAACATGGCTGCATGGGTCAGGGTACCCTGAGCTTACCGATGTATATAAATACACACACACACACAGGTGATCCTTGTCATCTATTCTAGGTGACTTCCCACCTGGATAGAGCTGACTGGAGAATCAAATTGGGCCAATCAGATTCTCCTACTGGAAAATATAAATTCTAAATGAAAAAAATCCAGAACCTGGAGGTCAAATAAATGAATCATTTTAAAAACAGTGCCTTGGGGTCCCCAGAGTTGCTCTGCTTCCCTGTGTAAGAGGTAGTTAGTGAGATCTTTATCTGATGGATGCCTCTCTAGGTAATCATGCAGCAAATCCTCTTCCTTGACTCTGTTGACCATAGTCAATTCTGTAACTTGTCACCAAGACAACTTTACCTAGTATTAATGTCCCCATTTTACAGATAAGAAAACAGACTTAAAAGAATTAAGAGAAAAAAATTGTTGTAAATCATCTAGCTAGTAAGTGATAGAACCAACACAGGAATTAAGCTCCAACTCTAAAATTCATGCCACTATCCACTAGGCAATCTTGACTCTAGGTGCTGCACTGTAGGTTATTTTTCTTGTCACAGAGATGGACTTGGGCTGATTCCTATTTTCTTTCTTGCTAAATAAATGATGACCTACATTCAGAAAAAGCCATGCAGAGAAGAGGATAGAATCTGCAGTGGCCTCAAATTGAAGTTTAGTGGTCCACAAATAAATCAAATCCATTGCCTTGCCTATTGACACTTGATTCCCACCAAGGGAACTAAACAGTTTGGCTACCCTTGGCAAGAAGATGTCTATGTTGTCCCAGGTCTATTGATCTTATCCTCTTAAGACAGACAAGATAGAATGCTTCCTCTCCACAATAGGACTTCATGGGATGGCAGGTGGTCTTCCAGCAGATGAAAGCATTTCAACAAAACTGATTGGCATCCCATAGCTAAAATAGGACTTTGTTTTTTAGGTCTCCCACTTCATTATGAATAGCAAACCAAAATAGCTACAGCTGAACAACCGAGATGGGTAGATATATCTACATCTTCTTAGAATAGTATCAGATCATGCTGAAAAATCTAAATTCAACATCAAGCCAATTGTCATATGTCAAGATTTAGCACTGCTCATTTTCACAGGCAGTAGAAGTACTCTTATAAGGGTACAAGCAAGAGTTCTCCATTTTTACACTAAGAGAAAAATACTCATGCAAATTAACCTTGGTCTAACATACTCATACATTTCCCAGTAGTTGCCTGCTATATTCCCTTGCCTTGGGCTGACAACTTTGCTCTTGGAGTTGTTTCTTATACTGAACTGCTTGCTTTTTGCTTGATTTCTTGGGCTATTTTGATCTAATATGTGGCCCATGCTATCTCCAACTCCACTTTTTCTCTAAATACCAGTTTTCAGCATCACTCCTATGCCTCTCTATTTCATATAAACAAGTGCTTATTTCTAACACTGCTGTTCCTGTTGCAGGGCCTGCAATACCAATGCACTGACCACTATGAAGCCCAGGTACAAGATGAAGTTAGGGCTAGATGGGGAACACTGTCTTAGGAACTGTCCTAGATTTACCACATTTAGCACCAATTATGAATTCTAGGCTTAGGTGTAATGCCTCTAGAAGAAAATTAAGGAGAGGATGGTAAACTGAGTGACCAGGTTGCTGGTGTGATGGTAGATGGAGTAGCATTACTTGATCCAAGAGGGATTGCGTTCCTGTATATAAATAATTTTAACAAACCCTTTTCCTTTCCCACTGTGCAGAAGTGCCTGTAGTGAATCCTAAGGGTGACAGGTAGGAACAGGCCATAATTTTATTAGAAATAGAAGGCAAGAAAAAATTTTAAAAACCCTGAGGCCCATTTTTCTGACCATCACTTCCCCATATTAACATGGCCTCCCCCATCTGTATGCCCTTCTGTTCCTTCCAGTATAACACCAACCACACATGTTAGCACATTTCCCACATCTCCCTTTGTTTGCCTAGAAGGATTATATGCCTCTTGATCAAAATCAGGTGCTGTCAGTTTATTTACAACTTCTGCATCTAATTCAATGCCTGGAACATACTAGGGTTTCATGGCTGCTGCATGTATAGAAAATGAATCAAAGACATTCAAAAGCATCTCTCCTGAGGAATCAGTTTCAATAAAGAAAAACAATGTCATTTGGAAGCTCTATTTGCTTTGCTAGCAGAGTGGAGTCCTATCATTTTTACACTCCACTGATTCATTCTGAACATGGTGTCAAGAACAATACAGGGCCAAAAAACAATTAGTGGAGGAACAAAACAATCAGTTGAACTGTCTGGAATTTGAGCGATGTACAGATCAAATGTCTTACATTTGCTAGGCTCCTTCTCATTTGGCCAGAATGGATGACTCTTGGCTTCACCGTACCAGGAATAATTGTCTCTCATATATCCCCAATCAGCTGCCTTTTAATGACTAGTCAAAAGTGACAATATAAAAGATGCAGTGACTTTCACCATCCTTGGCAAATCTTGGACCAACTCCCATTGATCTGTCCTTGGTATAGGTGAACTCAGAGACACAGATACCTATAGTCACTGCTCCCTGTCTTCAGCAACCACAAGGGCCTTGATTTTGGAAGAGACCCAGGAGGAGAAAGCGAGGTGTCTAAAGCGACTTTCAGTTCTTACACTACCTTTCTGTCTCATGCATCTCAGAGGTTGAATGACCTTTCAATCTCCCAAACCAACATCAGGATAGTCTACCCTAGAGATTTAGAAAAAGTCTAGGAGCTTGACAGACTGACCAGCTCCTATGCAGCCCACTTCTGTTCAAAATTGTTGCCTCCTCATCTTAGCTCATGTTCTGGTTGTTGCTGCTTTGAAAATTCAGTAAATTTGAATTTAAATTCTATAAGTTCCAAGGAGGCCCTTTCTCCCTTATGCCAATCTCCTGAACCCTATTTTTGGTTCAACTGCAAGGAAGACTTGCAGCTCTCTTGATGTACATCTCAACTAGTAATACAGTTGATCTCACAGAAACAACAACAAAAAACATCTTTGACTACTCATCCAGTTCCTGCTCTAGGATAGCTCCTCATTGCCAGACTTGTGATAGTGGACAATTCCGACTACTGGTAGTTTTTAGGGATGAGACCTTGTAGATTCCCCCTCAAGAAAGTCTTCTCTTTTTTGAGTCTCCATGTCCTCCTAGTCTGGTCCACCAATAGAGCTCATGCCACTGCCTTTTATCATTTCATTATTGTTTTTTGTATTGATGTTTCAACTCCTCAGCTAAACAGATGATAAGTTTATTGAGGGCAAGAATTACCTATAACAGATGCAGTATCACCAAAGCCCTAGAGCTATACCCTTGGCAAACACTTGAAAATTGTGTAGATTATCTTTTCATATAAAACAGAGGCTGACAACCCATGGGCAGTCAACTTGATTCTGTGTGCCTGGCATATAAAACAATCAACTAAACTGTAGCCTGCATTGGCTTATAGACTAGAATCTTCTTGTCCTGGTGTTGTCCCTTTGCTTGTCTTTACCTCTGCTCTTTACCCCAGCTTTAAATTCAGTGCAAATATAAGATGCTAAAGTAGTGAATGAAAAGGGCTCCTCCCAGCGTTCTGGCCTATTTTAATCTGTCAGTCCTTATGGTTTGCCATCCATCCCTTCAGCCACCTCCTCGAAACTTCTCCTCACAGCACTCCACACTTCAGTCCATTCTGGACTTTGTTCAGTTCCTCAACTGTGCCATGGTCTCTTACTTCTGTCCTTTGGGACGTCCTTTCTGTCTAGGACACACACCTTCCTTCCTCCTCTTTGCCAAGTTCATTCCTATTCATGTCTCAAGTCCCAACTTGTATATTTCTTCCTTGCAAAAGCTTTCTATGAACCCCTCCAGTATGTCAGGTCCCTTTATTAAAGCCACCCAAACTTCTCTCTACTTCCCATTTAATGATGCTGAATAACAATAATTACGATTGCAACAATCATTAACATTAATTAACTGCTTGCCCTAGTCCAGGGCCTTTTGGCTCACTTCATCATTACCAATATCTTGTGAGGGAGGTGCCTGATTATTCCTGTTTTACAGATGAGGAAATCAAGTCTCAAAGATATTATCTTGATATGGTTCACAGCACTCCTCTGGGGCCAGATTTCTCACCCAGTCTGGCTGCAGAGTTTATGTTCTTAACCAATACATCACACTGTCTCTTAAGAAACTCATCTTTAAATTTGTTCATTTAATTGCTAAATTGTCAACTAGGAATCAAGTTCCATGAAAATAGAGCTGGGTTTGACTTGTTCAATAGTGTATTTCTAAAGCTTAATGCAAGAGCTAGCATGCAGAGAGCGCCAAAAGCCGTGAGTTAAATAAATAAAACAGCCAGTCCGCCCATCCAGAATCCCCAAAGACAAGTATTCACCCTCTCTAAATAAAAGATGTCTGACACTTAGTTAAAAAAATCATGATGATGGGAATCTTTACTCAAAACTGTTCCTTTCTGTGACCTAGCGCCAAACAAATCCAAGTGGCCAGAACTAGAAAGGGTGCCACCTGGAAAGCAGTGAACCCAAGGAAACTCCTCTAGAAGAAAGAAAGCACAGGTAGGTCCAAAGGTAGCACCTGTGGTAGCAAAGAAAGCACCTGTCTCTCCTATAGCTATAGTGGTCACGCCCATGAGTCCCACCACCTTCGCCATCCACGCCGCCGACTCACCCCTTTCGCAGGTTCTGCCCCAGTAGCCGGTGCCCGTACAATCGCAGATGAAGCGGTTCCAGCCGTCCTTGCACACCGCGTTGTTCTTGCAGGGGTAGCTGTCACACTGCTTAGCGCTCATCCGGGAACAGGAGGACTTGACGCCCGCCGCGTTCTGCATCTCTGCCAGCTGCCGGATGTTCTTGCTGCGCCCGTCAATGAACAGGTCTCGGATGCAGCCCACGTAGCCGTAGTTGAGCATGGCTGTCCAGAGCTCGGTGGGGAGGATGAGGCCGGCCCGGTTCTCCGGCAGCCCGCCCAGGTACATGTCGCCCTCCAGATCCAGGATCTCGCTCTCCCCACTGGCGGTAAAAGGCGTGCGCCTGCTGTTCACTGATATGGTACCTGGGATGAGAGGACAGAAAGAGTGAGCTAACGGCTCCTGGGCATCGCAGGTGAGGCTGCCAGGTGGTGAAGCTAATTAAAGGAGCCCAGTAGGTGAGTTCTGAGACAAGTGTCATGTGACCAGGAAAGAACAATGCAAGCAAGGGAATGAAGTCCTACAAGTTGGTAGAAAAAAACAGGGTAGGTAATGGGGTCCCAATCTCTGCCAGGTAAGCCAGCCTGGCCACTAGGAGGAGCCAAGACAATCCCAAAAGCCTAGTTAGTACCTATAGGGTCTTGTCTCTGCCTAACAGTCCTCGCTGAGAGGTCACATGCCACGCTGGTGAGAGCAGCACAGTTCCGGCCTGGGTTTAACTCCCAGCTCTACCACATACTAGCTGTAACCTTGAAGCACTGTCTTCACCTTCCTGGGCTTTAATTTCCTCATCTATAAACTGGGGAAATAATTGCCCCCACTCTCAGGTTGGTGTGCTGGTTACATGAGATCATATAGATGAAATGTGTTTCCCTCTGTCAAGTAAGGGCTCTCTGTATGTGCCTGCCCCAGTCCTCATCAGTGGCTTGTCCTCCCCTAAAGGGTGGGACCCTCCATGCATGGGGACCCTCTACACTGGCATTAGATACCAGGCCTGCCAGTGAATATTTTGGGCACTGTCTTTGCTAAATTTTAATTGGAAAAATGTGTATTAATTCATTTAACAAAGATGTATTGAGCACCTCTTCTGTCTCTGGTATAGTTCTATGGGCAGAGATGAACTTGACAGTCATGGCCTTGCTCTCATGGACCTAATGTTCCAGAGCAGAGGGACAGAAAATAAATGCATCACCCAATAAACAAGAGAAATTAGTTAACGGTGGGTGCTTGGAAGAGAGTAAAATGGGTGCTATATTAGCAGCCCAAGGGTTATCCTTCGAAGTGAAGGCCTCTCTAAGCATGTGCCAGGTGAGCTGACACCAGGATGTTGAGAAGGATCCCCCAGTCCAGGGTGAAGACTGTGTCTGGCAGAAGGAACAGCACCTACAAAGGCCCTGGGGTGTGGCTAGAGTGGAGAAGGCAAGAGCAAGACAGCAGGAGATGCAGTCAGAAAGAGACTGGGCACATGGGATTCCAGAAGGTATAACCCTAGGTAGACCAAGTAGACTGACCTGGGAACTTGGGACAAGGGTTCTAGTCCTCAGTAATGAAGATGACCCTAGGCCATTTATAGCTCGATTTCCTAAAGTGTAGAATCAAGGAAACTGTGAAATCAAGGTGCTATCTAAATACCATGCCATAACTTTAAAAAATTATTTAGTATTCTTAAAGTGCTCATCGGTACCAAGTTAACTGCCATCCATCAGGCAGCTTTCACTTTCGTCAGAATCTCAATTCCCTCAGCTATGGAGGGAATAGCCTGAGGACTGAAAAGATCACACTCTAAATCACAAAGTCAACACAGGGGCAGAGGAGTAGAAAGAACATATGGGCCTCTGGGAGGAGGAATCCAACAGCTTGCTTCCCCCACTCTCCCCTAAAAGTTTTCTCCTGGAGAAATCTGCTTTGCTTTTTTGGTTTTTAATCTTTTAAAAACCTATGTAACAATAATAATGCCCTGGTCACCATTTTAAGTACTGTCTATGCTTCTTTCAACTTGCTCCTTAAAAAAGTTTTGTGACATAGGAGTTATTGTCTCACAAATGAGGAAGTTTTGGTTTGTGTCTCTTTCTTCTCTCTTGCACAATTTGCTTTGCCTGCTCACCACAAATCTACAGAGCTAATCTGATCACCAACTAACAGGGAGGAACATCTATGCCAAATAAGATGAGTAGCAGAACAAATTTAAATGTTGGAGCCTTCAAGAAACCCTGAAAAAATCTATCCTGTGAGTGTGTGATCACAGCTGGTTTAAAGGCACTTACCAAGTTTTAAGAATCTGTCACCCAACTGAGGAGTGATCATAAAAGTTTTTCTTTTTTTTCTGTTTTAGTTTGTTTATTTACTTTTTCAATTACAGTTGACATTAATATTTTATATTAGTCTCAAGTGTACAGCATAGTAGTTAGACATTTATATAATTTACAAAGTGCCCCCTGATAATTCTAGTATCCACCTGGCACTATACATAGTTATTATAATATCACTGGCTATATTCCCTATGCTGTACTTTACATCCCTGTAACTATCCTGTGACTACCAATTTGTACTTCTTAATCCCTTCATTATTTATAATAGCCAAGATATGGAAGCAACCTAAGTACCCATCAATAGCACAGTGGATAGAGAATGGATGTGCGCGCGCGCGCACACACACACACACACACACACGCACACACACAATGGAATACTACTTGGCCATAAAAAAGAATGAAATTTTACCATTGGCAACAACATGGATGGATCCAGAGGGTATTATGCTAAGTGAAATAAAAATTTTTCTAGATCACCTCTCAGTCATGTTAGTCTTCAGGATGAACAGGAAAGGAAGTGCCACACTTAGATACACTAATGCATTTACAACTATTCAATTTAGTACAGGTTTATAACTAAAAACAATATACCAGAAAACATATTCATAAAGAAATTAGGTTTAATAGGTCATATTAAAATTTTATGTTGCATTGCTTTTACAGGACAATTATTTGTCTGCTCAGTAAATTTTTATAGGATTTGATCAAATGTATAGGTGTTTCAAATTTATAGGCTAATGCTATAGCTCCCAGGTATGAAATTCAAGGCTTCTGAAATTCAATTTGATGAAGATGGGTCCTCTGGCGGTTCTAACAAAACAAAATAACTGCTCTACTTGAAAGAGCAGTTAGTGTTGGGAATAGACGGAAGTAGACATATGGCAATTTTACGTGTTCTAGCCTGCCCATGACGCAGATAGGTGACCTTTAAGCTGTGTCACGGTCTAGGTTAGTCAGTCATGAAATCCATCAACCATGACCCAACTCCAGAGACCCAAAATACATGGGTCTTAAACTCCAACAGGAATATTTCCTTTATAATTCTGGGACAGCTTTCTGGCTCTGCCCTGATGACATTTTAAAGATAAACTTAGAGAAAAAAATCAGTCTTGAGAGAAGTTAATTTTTGTGTATTTTTCTGTTTTAAAAACAAAGCACAAACGGTTCATTCCTGCTCAAAAAGCACGTTTAATTTGATGTTTCTTGGTTCTGATCAGATTTTAGACAATCAATAAAGCATCCTACCGGGCAATAAACCATCTAGGGCTGCAATCCACCACCTGTCTGCCCTCCACACAGAACCCATCCAGCTCCTCCTAAGGGCAGCATTGCTCATCACCATCAGCCTTCTAGCTCTGAAATTATGCCAAAAAGCCATTTCCCCGAAGCTCAGCCATTCCTGGCTATAAACTGTTAGAGGGAGCCTATTGCTTTTTATTGTTAGCCCAATGCACCGAGAAAGAAAATGTGCAAATGACATATCCAGAGTGAATCCTTAAAAACGATGGAAATATAGCCAAGATCCTTCTTGAGTATAATACCACCTAAATAGAGAATCAGGGAATGTGTGAAATTCAAGTACTCTAATTAGCACTCTGGGTAAAATGCCTTTTCTAATGGCAGGGAATGTGACCTTCATTGCCACATGGTCCATAGAAAGCTAGGCAGACTGTTCAGACATTCAAAAGCTCCAGACTCTCTATTTGTGAATTTTTTTTCTCCCTCTATGTTACTACTTCAGAGTGGCTATGTACTGCCTGGGGATAGCTTGTTTGATCTGCGGCTGCAGAAACAAACAAAGCCATTTAAACCAAATGTAAAAGGTTATGAAGACGAAGGGAGAGTTAGTGAGGTCTTAGCAAAGAGTGAAATATAGGCTTTCACACCAAAGGAAGGCTTTAAATTGAACATGACTTCAGGAAAAATCAATTTGCCTTTTCTTTTCTTGTCATAATTTTTCCCTGAAACATGACTCCTGCCAATTATTGAAGAGTGTATTGTTGCATAAACCCTTACACAGTGAAGCTTATCCTACAGAGTTGTCATATAATGTAGCCTCTGTGATGTCACAATTGGTTTCTATTGTAATGCGAAAAAAAGCAAAGAAGAAAAGTTGGGAGGGGGGACCATCACACCCATGACATGACAGTTGCTTTGGTATCTGTGAAAATGCTACTTGAAAAACCACACTTATCACAGGGTCTTGCAGATATCACTAAGACAACTGTACAACAAGTGACAGAGGAGAGAAAAATGTGAGCCATCGAGGAGGCACGTATCTTGTTCCAAAACATAACCATTACAACAACCGTGATGAGAATAGCAAAAGAGTTAACAAGCATGCAAATGAAAAATTATAATAAAAAATATAAAGCCAAGAAACAAACTAAGAAGCCAGAGCTTTCCTCCAGTCTCAATAATACCCTATCTCTGCCTACCTGATCTGCCATCACGCTGAATATCGACGTGGTACCATTCCCCATCATTGGCTTTCTTTTGAGTGGCTTTCACTTTGATGGTGCCAGAGCCCATGTCAAGCAGCAGGTACAGGTTGCCATCCAGGAGTTCCACAGCAAAGAAGTCCACCTTGGTGTTCTTCTGGCTTCGAACATCCTTCCTCTCTTGAGGCTTGCCGTGAGTGAAGAGGATCAGGCCATTGGGCTCGGTGGTGCGAAAGTCAAAGGAGATGGAACCCATGCGTTTGGTATTCCACTTGGGCAAGCTTATGTAAGCCTCTGGAGTCTCAAAGTTGATGGGGTCCAGCGTGGCCACATTCTCACACTTGAATACAACTTCCCCATAGATTTTCATCTTGGTATCCCCAATCCGGGCCAAGCGAGACAGCTCCAGACGGATGTCATTATTTTTATAAACAACCTGTCAAAAGCCAAACGTGTGCCATATGAATCAATCTTGCAAACAGTAACCATTCATCACTCACTGGGCACCCAGGAAAAAAAGCCTGAGAAGAGGCTTTAGGACACAATTATTTGAAACACAAGAAACATGAGATGTGGCATTTGAAAGAGCATCTGAATCGTCCTCTAGGGTGTACACTGGTCCTGAATAAGCTCCTGCGTTTCCATTCTAAACCTTCTGTCTATCTACTTCTGGTCAATTTTTATATCGTCAGAAAGTTATACAATATAAGCTTACAGGTAGAATTCAAGACATACTAAGTTGCAAAGCTAAAAATACATATATACAAAGATATTTATTAAAGTGTCATTAGTAGAAGACCAGACTATCAATAATAGACTGCCACATCCTTATTATTGAATATTATGCAGTCCTTAGAAACCAGGTAATGCTCCCAATTTTGATATGTATGCTCTCCAAGTAATACTGTGAAGTGAAATTAGCAAGGAACAGATCAGAGCATACATTATGCTATTGTGTAAAGTGTGTGTGTTGAAGTGGTGTTATAGGTATATATGTTCATACTGCATAGAACAACTTTGGAGGAAAATACAAGAAACTATAAAAATGTCACTGGGGAGTGTATTTGTTAGATTAATATTCATGTGTGGGAAGAAGACTTACTTTTCACAGTACCCTATTGTATTTGATGTTTTTAACCTTATGGATGTGTTGCTTAAAGAAAATGATTGTTAAGAGTTGTTGGGGAAGGACATCAGTGTTTCTTTGCATATTATATGTGCTCTCTGTGTACATATCGTGAGAGAATGAAATACCTTAAGACATATGCAAATATACTATGACTTTTTAAATGTGGTGTCATCCACATATAAGCAGGGACTATTCTTATTCCTCAAAATCAGGATTTCAAAAACACTTTGCTGTCACTAGAACTGAATTTGGATGCAGTTCCCTGGGATGGGCCCTAAACTTCTGACCACTCCGTAATGTCATAGGCATACAATAAACAGAAAACAAAATTGGAAGGGAATGGGCTCAACATTAGAGCACTGATTATGCCAACAACTATGCTGTGTCTTGTATATTGTTTTATTCAAATTCTAAGTCAGGATCCAGATTTAGGTTCAAATCCCACATCCACTACTTACAAGCTGTGTGACCTTGGTAGATTTAATGTAACTCACATGAGCTTGTTTTCTCCTTTGAAAATGGGAACATAGGAGTAAATGATTTTATAATGATGAAATAAGTTAATACATGTAAGGCCCTTAGAAATGGCACACGGTAAAGACATAAAAATCTCAGCTATTTTGGAGGCAGTTGTATTTGCTATTAACCTGATTTCATCCTTTCCAAAGATTGGTGAAGGTTGTACTGTCAGCTCTATTTTCAGAAAAATAACAAGACTTAAGTCTTAAAATAAGTCTTACAAACCATCTCGGGGATAAAATGTTAACTGGATGAATCATTCCAGTACTTAGCATTTAATACCTAACACCCAACTACAGAACTGTTTTCCTGCTCTCCCCTATCACCAGGAGATATCCAAGAAGAGCTGTTAGCCTTTTAATATATAACTAATGATTAAGAATTAAATGCGCCTTGCCTACCATATGACCTTGGCCATGGTAACCATAGACAATACCACTGAAAATAAGAAGGATAATAATATTTACTGGGTACCTACTACCAGGCTCTATGCTAAGGATCTGAAGCCTACCATCCCATTAGCTCTTGACAACACCCATTTGAGATATCCCCATCATTCCTCCATTTTACTGATGCAGAAACAGACATGGAGAATATTTAAGGAACTGGTTCATTGTCACATAGTCGAGAAGTAGTAGAGCAGGACTTGAGCTCAGGGAGCTGGGCTCCAGAGTCTGTGTGTTTTACTACAGTGAACACTAGAAATGGGGCCCACTAGCAGCTCCCAGGAAGCTCATCTTTAGCCTTGTGGAAAGTCATGCATGTTCAACTCCCCAATTCAAGAGCTGAATTTCCGATTTTCCTTCTACTGGACTGACCATGTGTGAAGGGGAAACACTGCAGGATCCTTAGCAGTCTCTACATGAGTGAGCCAGAAAAGAAAATGAAAGTTTAATAATTGGCAGCTTCTCCTTCTAACCACTGGTATTATGCCTGAGCATGTTAATTTCTCTGTCATAACAAAACTTTGGCTTTCTCTGCATTGGGTTAAATGCCTATGACTAGAGCTCCTTGTAAAGGTTAATTATTAATATGTAACAATAGCTCATCCCAATGGGACAAACTGAGGCTTGGCTCCATTGAGTGATAAATGGCAGGAGAGCCCAGGTACCTCTGCAGGAGAGAGGAATAAAAAAGAAAAAGACTTTTTAAAGGAAAGGAATGCAGAGTCCTATGATGGGGAACTCTCCTGGAAGAAGGATACTTGATTGAGAGAGGAATGGAAGGTGGCAAGAATGCCAATTTCTGGAGAGACACAGAGGAGAACCAGGGCCAGAAATTGGCCAAAGGTAACCAGACTTCTCTCAAAACTCTTTGAAGTTCAGCTTTTTATCTCCTCCCTGGCCCTGACATTACTTTGTGTGTATGTGTGTGCATGTAGTTTTTACATCTTTCTCACTGATAACTGGGTAACCTCTGAGTCCTGTTTTATCCATTTCTTCATCTTCCCAACTTCTCAATGCAAGGCCATGGCCACAGCAAGGCAGAAATGCACCAGCACCTTCAGTAGGACATGAAGGCAAGAAACCCCACTGGACCCTCTTAACAAGGCAAATTAGCATCTGGTACAGGGTTCTCTGTAAAATTAGATTGTCAACTAAATGAAAGTCCCCAACTGATGACTGAACTAGAAAGAGATGTGGCATCAAGTGACAGAAAGTAGCCTTGGCTGACAAGTTATCCCAATAAGAAGCAATTAAAGGCAAACTGAAAAGGGCTCCAATGGGGGGAAGATGTCACACAGCCTGGGAGGCAGAGGCAGAGTCACAGAGAGTGACAAGCTGTCCTTACTACTACACCCATGGGCTTGTAGAGACAGCTGCACTTGAATGTCTCTGTAAACTGTGATATAGAGACACACAAAACAGTAGCAGGAGTAAGGCAAGCTATGGTAGCAGGAACGATGTAATAAAAATAGTTGCCATCTACTGAGTGCCTACTATATGCTAGTCCCTTTAAAAACACTGTCATATATAATCCACATGAATCAAGTAAAGAAGCTGGCATTAGCCCTGTTTTACAGAAATGAGGCTCAGGGGGGATCAGTATGCCCAGGACATAGGACATTAAGGGCGGAGCCAGGACAACTTGAACCCAGATCTCTCTGACTATACTGGAACAAGGCCATGCTCCTCCAGTGGTGGCAGCTTCTAGACTCTGCTGCAGCTTTTTACCTATCCATAAAACAGACACCTCTTTGTCAAACACAAAAAACATATGCAGCTCCATACAACGACAAAGCTGTCTGCCCTACTGCCTAAACCATTTGCTCTGATTGGAAAAGAAGACTATTTCAATTTATATAATGTGTTTTTTACATTAAACTTTTCCATGATGCATGAGCTATATGGGGTCATTCATTCATAGAGAATGAATCTAATGAATAGAGATGGTCCCAGCTCACAGAAGTATTTCTTTTCTCCCTCTTCTGTCTTATCCCAGGCTACTCTGTTCTCAGCTTCCTAAGAACATGTTTCCATGTACTTAGTTGTAAATGCCACATCCCTATGCACTCCAGTAAGGGAACTAGAAGAAATGGGGGGAGTGTGGGCATGTGCCCCGCAGTGCCCAGATGGCTTCCTGGTACTATTTCTCCTGTTGAGAAATAGAAGGTTTACCAGCTGGCCTTTCTGTTCTCTTGTTATTAAAGCCTATTTAACCATCTTTGGGTCTACATCTAGGACAATTTCAATAAAAACCACCAGGTCAGCTTATAAGAGCATCATTTATAGGTCCATGACTTCATGACTGAGCACCATTGCTCTGATCCAGGTCAGTGGAGGATGTTTGAAGGTCAGGACACTGGGGGACATTGTCTCGAATGACTACGCTAGACAACACAGAACGGTATGAAGCCAATGTCAGAGTGCTTTGAGGTGGAACAGTGCTGACTATGAATCCTAATAAAGCCTTTCAAATTTACACCTATGTGTGGAGCCCTTTACATACAACAAGCAAAAGACAAAGATGTATTTATCTCTCACCCAAATTTAATCCCATTGACAACAGATAATAATGAAGAGAGCTTTTTCTCTTCAGTTTCTAGGATGGTGCAGCTTCTAGATAAACTTCTGTGCTCATCTTATTATCGTATAACACTCTTACTGAGGGCAAACACATGAAAATCACTGTGAAAGAATCTTGCTTCTGCTGTGGCCACAAAAATCACACATCCTACCCCACTTCCCCTCTGTCCCTCCGGCAACTGATGACTCCGGTAGGCTATTATTTCCCCTTCTATGAACTATCCACTCCTCTCATTTGTCACTCAAAACACTCTACTTTGTTATCTTTGAATAAGCACAGGTCTTGTCTTTTCAAAATAGCTTCAATACTTTCTCAGCAAAAACTATGCATTACACCGTTTAAAGTGTGAAATAGCACCTAGCTGTGCCAGTGCTTAATCAATGCTTATATCTTCATTAAATTAGATGCTAGACTCAAGCAACAGCACAGGGCAGTGGTTAAGATCACGGACTTTGCAATCTCACTAACCAGGATTTGAGTCCTGCTTTACCCTTGTGACCTTGGATAAAATATTTAAGTGGCCTCAGACTCAGGTTTTTCAACTGTGGAATGTTGATAACCAGTCTCACTGCACAGGGTTTTAGGCATAAATGAGACAATATTATCACATGCAGAAGTACTTTAGACAATTTTTGGCCTTTCATAAGCACTCAATAAATGGTAGGAATCACTATTAATATTGTTATTTTCTCTGAAAATCTAGAACTAAGTGAACAGACAGGTAAGCCTGATGTAGTATTATTGGGAAGAAAAGATTCTCT